TGAACTTTCCCTACAGCTCCAGTCTCATATCACATTCTGATTCCGTTACAGCCGGTGGTGATCGGATCGGCCACAGTGGGATCAGGCCTCAGCTGGCACCGGACACTCCCGCTCTGTGTGATTGGCGGCGACAGAAAACTTTGCTTTTGGATGACTGAAATGTAGACATCTGTGCACCCCTTTCCATGGTGGATAACAATGTGCTGTTTCTATTCTAGTAATTGTTCAATAAAATATTTTTCTGAGTATCTGTCTGAGTTTATGTGCAATTTGAAGGAAATAGTCCGCGTGCTTGAGCTTTGTTCTTTTATTTTTGACTACCCGTCAGATCAGCTACAGATAAACAGTGGGCTTGTCAGGTATTTCTGAAGAGCTCATTTTTCTTTTCTCTTAAGAGTAAGTTACATCAGCGGCCTGTTACGTCCTGCCAAGCTGTAGTTCAAAGGAATGCGAGGATTCAGTGCCAACTCTTCACTTAACCAGTCAACATGATCATCATACCACAGGTGTTCTCTCTGACTGGCTTTCAATTTTCCTACAATCAATGACAGACTCGGAGTCATGTTAATAATATATTTTTGTATGGGCTGTTCCACCTGCTGTGGTGGGCTGAAAATCCACAGGATGAGTTAAAAGCTAGGAGTTCTGGCTGTGCTCCAGCTGTTGGACAAACCCTGCAGGTGTAGCGGTTGTAAGTGTAATCATAAGAAAAGCTTTGGGAAGCATCGGAGTCTGGGGCCATTTCAGGTAGTCTCCAACTCCATGACATTTAAACCAAGCGACCCATGGGGACGCAGGGAGAGGAAGAGATGTGCATCACCTTACCATGGCAAATAATTATCATTGCTCCACAGACCAAACACGGGAGACAAGGGATCATTTGGCAGAAACTTCTAATGCCCCCCGGTAAAACAAGGAGTCATTGTACTGTCACAGGAATGCCATGTGTGAGAAAAAGCCATCTCCATTTTCAAAGCAGTCATACTCGTGCTAAGCTGCAGAGAGCACTTATTTAATTAAATTGATCATGAATCATTCTAGGTGACAGCTGATAACTTGGTTCTATAGATGTGTTTAATCTTCAAGGGGGCAGCATTGGATAAATATGCATCATATTGAAGCGTCTAACAGCCATTTATTGTGCTTTATCAATGTGTCTAGGTTGTATTGTACAGCGATGCCTCTGCACAACAGAGCGTGGAGATCTCCACTCTTTTAAACCAGTTCGTCAACCTTGTATATTTCTTGGACAGGACACGTTAACCGCCATCCACAAAGCATAACATGCTACTGCTCTCCTGGTCCACGCTTTTGTTTGAATAAGTCCAATGTGGTCTCCGCTCTCTACATTTGCTGTGCAAGTGGTGCTGGAGCAGCTGCACATAACACGAGAGATGTCAATGCCTGATGCAAGAAGCTGCCATTTTCATCTGTGCACACTGATCGTTTTCCAAAGAGTATAAAAGCTCCCCTTAGAGGGGAGCTCAGACACTTTCCTCTGAAACATGAGTCATGAATCTCAGTGGCTTTACAAATCCCAGTGACTCAAGGACACCATCTGATGGCTGATGAGTAGAATAGCATCAAGATTTAATTCCATCTTGCTGATTTCTAGAACATATGATCCATCTTGGACATCTTACAAACTCCCCTCTTTCCTGGAAGCACCTCTTCAGGCGTCACTGCCCAGGGCCCTCCGTGTTACCTTTGATGTAACCTGAATGAAGCTATTATGTCTCACAAACAGTTTCTCTTGTGGTGTGTGGACTAATAACAAACTGTGAAATGGATGAAAGAGAGATCAGACAGCCTTAAAATCCTCACCAACTTTCTCCTAATCTCCCCCTCAGATAACTCTTCTGCAGCCGTGCCAATTCTAAGCCCTGGGCTCAACAAGAAGGAGAGCAAATAAAAATAATGAGGAACATGATATGAAGGGAAACAAAGAAAGAGATTAGAGCTCTTTGAGGCCGGTGTTTGATTTAATCTCACGGCTGGTTTGTTGTGTAATGCTTTTTCCAGAATGAAGTGATTATGTTGATCTCAATGAGAAGAAAAGATTCCGTCAAAAAAGCATGAGTGGAGCTTGTTGTCATCTAAATTGTTGCTGCCACAAAGTTTGTGACAACTGCACTGTGAATTTGTAAGTTTTACTTTCTAATATGGCGGAAGTTGTAACCAATGGTTAATGAATCATTTACTAATGCTTAATAATTCAGTTAAAAGTCATTAAAAAATCATCCAACAGTGTGCCAGAACTTCTGAACCAAAATCCATTCCAACAAATTATTAACATTTAACTACAGGCTTGCTGGACTTTTGTAAGCACCTTTTATTTAATTTTTTTTGATTATTGATTTATTTATATTTATAGTTGCAGATGACTTACTTAAACATGTGGCCTGTTATTAATGACCATGATCATTGATAATCATTTATAACTGCAGACTTGATGGCTAATTAGAAAGTGAGAAACCCTTGAGCATTTATTCATAATTGTGGTTTATTGAAGGAGTGAACTGCGAGGGACTGGCGACCTGTCCAGGGTGTACCCCGCCTTTCGCCCAATGTAAGCTAGGATTGGCTCCAGCCCCCCCGCGACCCTGTAAGCAGGATAAGCGGTTGATGATGGATGGATGAAGGAGTGAAGACTGTAAGCTGGGGGAACAGCTAGCCTGCCAACACTTCTTACTTAGCTATTCTTCTATGTACCCTGTGGGACATGAGGCTACATTGAGCTCCTTCCATCATACCTTATCCACAGCCAGCTAGCTGGCTTGTCTTTCCCAGGGGCTACAGCAGGTCATTTGGGCTTTCCAGGTTTTCTTTTGCCTGGAGGAGTCCATCTCAGCACAACCTCTGGAATGTGATGTCCCAGCCATCGCAGTCACTTCTGCCTTATTTACCAGTGATGATGATCTTGCTTTTGGTTTTTCTGTACAGTTCAAACAATGTCTTGTCAGGGCAGAATATGCCACATAGCCTTCTCAGGCATCAAATGCCTCAATCCTTTTCATATTGCGTCAGTCTCCAGCCAGCATTCAGAACCGTATAATAGGGTGGACATGGCCTTAATCTTATATAGACCTTTGTTTTTGGCCTGTGTAGCTTGGACATCTAGATGCTGCGGCACTGGGAAAACTTTCCTACTTTGCCTTTCCCCAATCTTGCCATGATCATTTTGCCCTGATGTCCACCTTGTACCGCAATTGTTCAACCTGAAATGTTGCCAGCTGTTGTTTGTAAAGAAATTGTTCCACCTAACTATCTATAAGCAATCTTTTATACCTAGTGCAATAAATGTAATGAACAAACTGCATTAATTGGCAGGCCTGCTCACAGAAATGACTGGGCCCCTGAAAAGTTCCAGTAAATGGGCCCTCCGCAAATCGTTTTTACTCATCTCAACACATGCTGTGCTCTCTCTCTACCTCTTACATAAACACATACATGGCGTGTTGCATGCGGTGCACTTTTGATGTTTTGACGTTGTACAACAAACATTACTCATGAGAGATGTACGGCACCGATGTGACATGATGTTTGTATATATATGTTTATATAGTGATGTTTTTATAGGTCTGGTGAGAACAAAGACGGTTTTTCCAGCCTTGGCAGGACAATAAAGTGGTATTCTAGTCTATTCTAACTCACAAACTCTGTTTTTTTGCACAAGAGGTCGTGTTTATCAGCAGTGTTGGTAAGCAGATTTTTTCACTTGGGTTCAGGCTAGCTGTTTCTGTTCCTTATTCCAGCTCTGTACTTGTAATGCACAGACAGGAGATTGGTATGCCTCTTCTCACCCATTTCCAAGAATGTTGAACTGTAGGTTTGATGGCTTATGACTGACCTATAAGGCATTGGTAAAGTATTTGTTAACTATTAACAAAGCAGTTAGTTCTTTATCAGGCTTTGAATCACCAGATTCACTTACATCTTGTGGAGTATCTTTATTTTTGAGTTCTCAGGCCTGAGGACAAAGTGAACCTCCTGACCCTGTTTCCAGCCCGGAGGCAGCAACTAAGCCAGCGTAGGGATGAGATGGCCCTGACATCAATAAAGGAAACACTTATGGTTGGAGTCAGGATGATACAGCGTTTGGGATTTGTGGTGAGAACGCGAGACACAAGAATCTAGCTGGATCCCTTACAGGTTGCCCTGTTGCCGTGGCAACATGCTTTAGTTTGGCGCTCAGCAGATTCGGACCCTGCCGGTGGTTTCATGGAGATTTGTGGATTTGAGAGCGCTGGATGTAGAATGAGATACAAGAAATTATAAAGTGTTTGACTTGCTGGTAGAGAGTGTGTCCATGCATGTGTGTGTGTGTCCCTGCACACTTGTCATGCAGTAGATCACTCTTTCCCTCCACTTGCTTTATCCCTCCCTTTCTCCCTCTCTCTTTACGCACATTTCTTTCTACTCCACAAACTAGGGAGGCCGGAGCAGGGCTTGATTTACTGTAGAGTGGAATTATGGGAAGGAAAAGCTTCCCAACACAAGGGGGCCGATGGGACGGTTTGCCAGCCACCGTGTTGTTGGTGGTGGTGCTTTTATGAGTCCTGCAGATGGAGATGATTTGTCTTTCTCAAGGGAAAGGCTTTGACGTGCGCAGCTCTGATATGCATTGTCGCCTGCGTGGAGATCAAAACGCTGGATTTCCGTCAAAAAGCCCCGAAGGCCAAATTCTCCAGTCGCACACAGAAAGAGAAATAAAGAGAGAAGAGCATCTGTCAGCACTGCAGCCCTGCGGACCGTGCTGTGGTTGACTGTGAGGTCCCGGTGACCTGGCCCTGCTGATGTGCTGGGCCTCACTGCTTGCTGGCTCTGGCCTTGACCAGCTGAGGGAACATGATACTTAAATCATTCATAATTAGCTCCTTCCCTTTGCTTAATAACACATGAAGATAAATGGGTTTCAAGAATTTTCCAAATGGAAATAGTTGGTTTGGAATTAAAGCTAGAACATGGCCTACAAGCCCTTTATTGTAGTGGTTCATCCTCTCTCTCTTATTACTACAGCTGGCAAACACTGGACTTCTCTTCGGAGCACCTCTTCTGAGATCTTTTCTGTCTCTCTGGAATATAAAACACTGACATCATGAAAATAAACATTTATTTTGTTTTTACATAATACATAATTGACACAAACAAATGACCCTGTGGAACCTCGCAAACCTGACTACAGTAGAATTTTGTGTTGTTCACAATGTTTACACATGCCAGATGTCCATCCTTTTGCTTGCACGTTTTTCTGTCTGTGTGACTTTCTTATCTCTGCAGGAAATCTGCCCCTGGTCTTAAGATGAGCTGAGCTTCTCCAAGGCGCTGTGAAGGGTCTTCAGGTCTTCTCTCATCTGACCTAGAGCGTTTTGGATCTTGCTGGGCTGATCTAGAGCCTCTACGCTGCAAGTGAAGGGGTCGTAGCGAACTGCAAAGGGACGCTTGATAGCTGCAGAGTATCTCCTGTGGATGTGAATTAAGTATGAGGATTAATAGATGCTTATATACATACAAATAATAGGAAAAAAACAACATAAATTGCCTGAGTGAGGTGTTCCTTGGCACAGACTCTACAAGACATCATCTGCATCCATTACGAGTCATTAAAGGAACCCTGTGGAGTTTATGAGTAGTGGTTCGATGGAGCAATGTTTTGTAACAAATAGGTCCCTGAATACACCCAAGAGCAAGTCCTATCAGTGGTTTCACACTATTCCACTGACCTACAGGTGGCAGCCATGCACCAAGAAATGCAGCCATGCACCACTAAAGGCAAAGAAGAAGGAGACTACTAGCATGTAAACGTGGGTGTAAACAATGCAGGTTTCAAAATGTTTAGAAAGATGAACTTTACAAATGTTTTCACAAATTAGACATCAAGGATACAAACACTGAGAGTGAGTGTAACTTTTATAATAAAACTCCATAGGATAGTTTGTAATTAATGTTCTTCCTTTCAATTTGTTGGCTTCAATAATTCCAAGGGGATATTGCACAAAATAAATCTCTAAAACTAACCAGTTAAAGACACTCATGGAAGTTGGTGTGAGAAACATATAAAAGGCCATTAGTAAACAATAAAGTCTAAGAATAAACTAGAATATGACTACTATGTACTGAATATACACGATACACTTCTAACTTTGTCATTGTAGTATAAAAATAAAAGTATTCAGTCTGACTGATGGAGAATAACAAAAGACGTGCTCCAACACCTGATGCAGCTCGAGCTGAATGAAGACATTGAGATTTTTGCTTGTTCCTAAATGGTCAAGAATAAAGTTCCATGCTGATGAAGAATATTACATTATATAAGTATAACAGCGTTTTAGAAGATTTCAGGTCAGAACACTAAAACTATTGACTGTAATTATGTTTAGCATTAGGATGAATTAATCAGCAGTTAAGGTTATGGCCATGCTATAATATAAAAGTTATTATCTGTAGAGATGTTTTGAAATTGTATGTTGAGTGGAAAAATCCAATTAAAACACATTTTACTTTATTTTAAGGGTATAAAAGTTGTTTGCGGAACTGCTTTAATGTAACATCTTATGTTCTAACTTGATGGATTAAGTTCTATTGGTTACAAGGTTTTCACCCAACAGCAATAATGTTCTCATCATAAAGTAATAAATGAATACCTCAACTTAATCTTTGCATCCTCAAAGCTCTCAGACACAAAGTAAACAGGCTGGTAGGTTTGGTCCTGGTACGGCTGCACTGCGGTCTCCTCTGGGATAAATGGCTTGTACTCCGGCTCATTAGACAGAGCGTACTGGAAGGACAGGTTGAAAACTGTCAATGCACCAAGCAAAAATTATGCAGCCAAGTATTTGTGCTTGAACTTAGAGACACACTCACAACAAGCTCTCCGTAAGATGACAGGAGTCCTGCGCCGTAAGCTTTCACCGTTCCGTTTTGCTTACAGAGGCCAAACTCCACAGTAAACCAATATAACTTTAAAGGGAAAACACAAAGAATAAGGTACATAAAGATAGTTTCTGGAAGAGAACATGGTTAAACATTATGGGCAGACATCTACTTAAGCCACTAGATGGCACCAAAGAGCCATTAAATGCACAAAGTGCAGAGAGCAGAGAGTAACCCTCAGATATTTAAAGCTACATATTCAACTTTTTGATATGAAATTGTGTAATTTCACTGTTCTGGTGATGTTTTTACCTTAAGGACTGGCAATACAAAGGTATGTATATATTAATAAGGTACCTTTTAAAATACTTAATAAAAACCTACCGTAGACAGTTTCTCAATGTCTTCATCTGAAGCTCCGAGCGAGGAAAGTCCAATCTCCTGAAGTTGTTCAAATGAAGTATTAAAGGTAGTACAACTAGATTATGCTCAAATCAAAGAACAGTACAGTACAGTACAGTTACCTGTGAAAACTGGGCAAATTCTGTATCTGCCAGCATGGGAATATGGCCGAGTAGTTCATGACAGCAGTCTCTGTTGGAGCACATTGAACTCAGTCAAAGGCAGCTGAATGCAAACATACATAAAGAAATAAGTTAGGTCTCAAAAAACAAAACAATGACTCACGGCTCAGGGGAGTGCATGGGCGCAGAGGAGTGACGGATGTACTGTGTGCACTGAAACACCCTGAAGGCCAAACTGTTGAGAAAGTCTCTGGCTGACAGCAGGCCGGCTACTGGCCGCAACTGGAAACCAGTTTTCTCTGAAACATGCAGAGAGGAGAAAAACACTGTCAAACACACTGTGATTGAGCTCGAAGGAAGTAGAGCCAATAAGACAGCAGTGGAAAATACATTTACGCAAAAACCATACTAATTTTGAGGTACTTGTATTTACTAGAAATTTCCATTTAATGCTTTATAAATTCTACACCACTGCATTGCACAGGGATATATTGTACTTTTTACTTTACTTATTAAAATACCTGAAAGCTCTGGGATTAGATTTTGGATTTTTTGGATTAGAATTTATCAACACATAATAATTGTATAAAATACCACATTGTTAAAGATTAGCTTGTGGCCTCTTACAAACAAGCAGTAAAAGCATCATGTTTCCACTGAAGAGAGATTTCCACTTTAAGCTTCTCAGGTGGTTTCATTAAAATACCTGTTCAATTAATTAAAAGAGCTAATGTTTCACAAAAATCTATGTAAATATGTGTAACAACACTTTGTTTTTTTCTTCCATTAACCATCTCAGATTTTCTTGTGACCCTTTGGACCCCTAGGTTTGGAACCATCTCCATTTAGAAAGGCAGATGCTTCTTTTGTTTAAATTTGTTCTATTGCGGTAATTTTTCGGGATGTCAGACACCTCTAATTTATTATCTCTGTCTCCTTTTTTGATGAACTAATTTGCCTTTGACTACTATTCAATCTTCCATCTTTTGAAACCAAAAATACTTTCTGAATTCTACTTTTCTGGAAACATTCCTTGATTTGACCTTTTCACTTTTATATTTTAAAGATCAATTTCTCTTGTAATTCTACCTTTGTTTATCTCTTTTAGAGCTTATGGAACAGCAGAAACATTCCTTTATTCTACTTTTTCAATCTCACTTATTTTTTGAAGACCAAAACGTCTTAGAATTCTAATCTATAAATCTTTGTCACCTTTCAGGAAGGCAGAAACCTCTCTGAGCTGAGGGATGCGGTCCTCTCCATAGCCACATTCTTTCTCCAGCTGCTGCAGACCGTCCAGGAACTGCCTGCAGGCCAGACTCGGGTAAATAGTCCGCAGTTGCCGGTAAACCTCCCTCCTTTTAACACAACATCATCACATCATTGCACTTTAATCATCCGTCACCGTGCATCTGCCTTAATACCTGTGCAGTTCATTCTCACCATGTGGACACTTCTTCTGCTGTGTACTCCACGGTGGGCAACGGGTCCCCTCTGTGACAAAGAAAATGAATTCATGAGCAAATATTTGAATTATACTCTATGCTTAATGAAGATAGATGGACTTTTTAAAATATCTTACTCACTGTCTGTAACTGAAGGCAAGCTCAGAGATGAAAACCCGTCTTTTTCTGTATTCTGGATCGCTGTATCCCTGCAGGAGAATATGTTAAATGACCATAAATGGGCTGATAAATGTGATTCTTGTGTGACATTTTGCAGTGGATGTGTAAACACTTACTGGATGGTCCTGGTCCATGTCCGGATCATATTTGGTTATTAACATGTTGCATCTGTCGAGGTCTTTTATCTGTCGGGGAAACCAGGGAACTGTGATGGTGACGGGAATACAATGTAATTAGTGCTTTTGTGATTGCTTGCATGTTATTATCATATTGTAAAAACAAAACAAAAGGAGCATCGACTGATTTAATAAGGCCTTTAACATCACATGCGATGTCCTTATATGAGCACGCCTCCCAAGAAATGTTAACGAAGAAACAAGTATTAAGTGTAATAATAAAATCAGGTAGTTGCCTTTTTCCTCTGGTATGGAGCGAACATCGTCAGCCACTCTCTTCAGTGAGTTGATGAAAACGTCCAGGTCAGAGCTGTGAACTTCACACTTCATGAAGAACTCCAGCTCTGCTGTGCTGTTCTTTGACTTCCTCCCCGGTCGACTTTCAATGTGGAGAAGTTTTGCTTCAAATGTCTATGAGGGCAAAAGACAAAAGAGCAAAAGATGTCTAAAAATACAAACAGAAAGGCAGAAGAAAATCTTCATTCTTTCTATAATGATTAGAAGCTTTTGCTTCCTAAAATGGCCTCATTATGCTGAAGACATTTACATATTTTGTATTCATTTCTCGAACATCTTGTCACTTATCAGACAGGAGTTTGTATTTTGGGAAGTTAATGCCTCAGGTGATTAGGGACTTTTTTGCCAATTTCTTAAGACAAAATCTGTAAGTCAAAAACAAAAGATTGGAATCTTAAATTGATCCACAGATCTTTTAATACAAGGACTAACACTACACAAACCAAAAAACTAATCTAAAATACAAGATTGGAGCCACATATTCATGGAAAGGACTTAAACTCTATTTTATTAATATTATTAATGTTGTTTTTGCTGTTTTATCGGTGGTTGGTTTAGCCTATTTGCAGAGGTGAAAAGTAACAAAGTACATTTACTCTAGTACTGTGCCTAAGTAAAATCAATTTTGAAGTACTATTTAGAAAATAATAATTTTGCCTCTGAGATGTGTGTTGTGGAGTAGAAGTACAGGGAATTTGTAAAGTACAGTGGTAGAGTAAATGTACTTTTCACCACTGAATAATTGTTTGTTGCAGCCCTACATCCACCAAAGAGAACAGAAAAAGCCACTTAAACATGACAGGATCATACATTTACTTTATTTTACTAATACTTCTGGACTCTTATAACGCGTTATTTTAAAGTGTTTTATTAGTACTTTGGATCTATCACTGCGTATTTGAGGCTTACCTCGAATATTTTCCCAGTTTTGAAGAATCCCGCGTTTTTCTCATTGCTGAGAGTGAACAGGACATTCAGAGTGACCCTGCCGTCCTTCTCCTCAAACACAAAGCTGTCTCCGTACCTGGAGGGCCCCGGGGAGCTCGCGGAGCCGCTGCTGCGCTCCCTGCGAGCATCCTCGATCAGACTCTGCTTCCTCCCGCTGAACGGCGCCGTCTGCACCACCGTCTCTGTCTTCATGTCTCTGCTGGAGGCTTCACAGTGGGGCCGGAGCCAGCAGTATGTGTGCCTCCATCACCTCCGCGGTCAGGTTTAAATACCCTGTCATTTGAGGGCATTATGGAGATGAGTTGCGCAATTACGGCACGTGCCTTCGGCATTTTAGGCCTGTTTTGCGTCATGAGCTACATTATGGGACAAAAAAGTGGAAGAAAATTGCCCACTCAAAAAAAAGCACTAGGGATCATAGATGCATTCAACCAAAATAGGGCATTATGGGTTACATAAATGTTAGCTATTCTTGTTTATAGAGGAGGGGGAAAGAGTTTATTTGCACTGGTGGACGTTAAAAGCACTGATGCATATTATAGGGACTTTTTAGTTTGTTTTTATTAAAATGAATATAAAAAATCATATCATCATATCAAAATACAACACTGGTAATATTAAAGCTCTTTCAATACAATGACTGACAACGATTTAATGTTTTCTCTAACACTTTAGTTAGTCCTCCATTTATGTAAAATAAATGGTCTAAAACATGTAGTTGTTAGCAGCTGTAAGCTTTATTCATTTATTTGGCAGCCACTATAACTGGTATATAAACAGATAATGAATGAAAATATAACGCAGTTGTAAAATATGTCTTAACTGGAGAAGTCACCAAAATTGCATATTAATAAGGACTTATGTCCTCCTTATGTTACATTATAATGTGTTTATTAAATGTAATGGGAGGCTTATAAATGCTAAATAAGAGTCCTTAAATGTGAAAGTGTTATCATGTTTTCTGATGCTGTTTATTGTTTATTTGGCTTCCTTTCCAATACCAATAGGAAAAAGATTAATTAATTTTAACTTTGAATAGTAAAATATGTGAGATGTAACTACCATTCCAGGAACAAATAATTGCCATAAAGAGAAAAGAGAAATATTTATTAGTTTTTTCAGCCAAGCAAAATAAAAGCGAGTGACAAAAATTATCTCTCAACATGCTTTTGTTTCATATTACATTTAAATGCATAGGGGAAAAAATCTGATTATTTCAGCTATTTTGCATCATTTGATGTTTACATATTGGGTTTTAAAATTGATCAAAGTCACTAAAAAGATGATGATTGACAAAACCCTCTTATTTTGAAAAACATGTCTCTTAATAACATTTATACTGTAATAATATATATTTTTCTGTTACAGACACATTCCTTATAATCCTACATAAAACAGGCTACACTTTATTCACTTAACTAAAATACTAATTGGATTACAGTATTGCATATTTGTTTTAATACAATTTGCCAGCATGCCAAGCAGAATGGCAAGTTAACTGTTTCATTGAATAAATGAAGAGATTCTCAGGGTGCTTCAGCTCAGATTACGTGTGCCGTTACTTCAATTTCCGCAGGGCTTCGCACAGTTTCCCCATTTCACCTGAAAAGAGAGAACAATTTTGAGTTAATAAGACATTTTTTATGAATCAGTGTCGCCTAAAACTACTCTTGTATCAGTTAGTCTTTTCTCCTTTTTATATTTAAATTAGGAACACCTCACAAAACATTCATACGGCACAAAATTATACATATATATTTTTTAGGCATTTCTACATTTTTTTTCTTTTTTCTTAATTTGATCAATTTAAGATCTCTAAAAATTACTCAAAATAATCTTTGTATTGTTTGATTGTGGAGGCACTCTGCCTTGCCGAAATAAAGCATCACTCCGCTAATGTCTGAAGACGTTATTACACCTTGATGATGTATAATATCAGGCCTTTTCGAGGAGATTGTTTTCAGATTTGCTGCTGTGCATGCCTGTTTTGATTTCTTTCTTGTGTTACTTAGGTCTCCTTGCCATGGATACATTTGTACAAGAGATTAGGGGAAGTGCTATTTTTGTTTTTTTGTTTATGTTTTGTCTGCAGTTTATTCAGTCCTCCTGCCCTGTGAAGAAACCGTTTTAAAAAATCTATAATATACTTACAATATTCCAATAATTTTAATGTTGTTGTGTGTGCTAGCGTGCATAGCTGATGCCATTGCTTGGTTAGAACCCATAACCATATGAAACTGATGATGATGAGTCAAAAATGGACATTGCTTCATTTTAAGAGGGAACCACTGCTTTAAATAATAAATAAAACCAATTTAACTAAAGAAAGGGAGATTGCAGTCTACACTCAAAACTGACTGAAAATAAAATAATGACATACTGCTGATGCTGTCAGCCAGGTTCCTGAGCTGCTGGGTACTGTCCAGCACTTCAATACTTTGGGTGTAAGGATTGTAGCGCACTGTAAAAGGCCTGGGGATTGTGCCTGCAAATGTCCTGTATGGGCAGAGAGAGTATAATGGTAAATGGTGTGTAACCTTAACTTACAGTATATATATACTGGGAAGTTTCAGACTGGTCTTACCTCACTTTGTCTTTCGCATCCTCAAAGCTCTCAGCCACATAGTAAACAGGCTGGTACTCTGTGATTGGGTATTTCTGGAGGCTGGTCTTGTCGGGGTCGAAGGGCAGGATTTTGGGCTCGTCTGTCAAGCAGTACTGAAGGAAAACAGAGTTTAAAAGAAAGGATATTTTTAATTTAATATTTTTTCTTACTGTGTGGAATTCAGTCTCTCAATGAGTGTCTCTGTTCACGTCACGGCCATTAGAAACAGGAAGCCAGCATGATTCAGGGCTCTGCTTTTCTGTTGATGTGACCTGGCAGAGTGCACATCCTCTGCTGATAGCCGCTTATGTAACTTGTGACCTCGATAGCAAGCCGTCCATCCTTTCTCTGCTCCCACTTACCCACTTCACCAACTGTCTCCCCCAGTGACACATTAAACCTGGGTTGGAGTGGACCACTAACCCACTGTCTGCACCTCTGCTGTTGTGCAACAGGGTGAATGTGTCATAACAACAGACGGGGGGTCAGCAGGAGGTAGGCAAACGAAAAAAGCAAACTATTAAGTGGCTGTGGCGGGGGTCCATGTTTACTGAAAGCGATGTACAGACTGCGTTCTTGGAGCCTATGTCTCAAAACACATGTGTTCCCCTTACCTGCAGCTCTCCAAATGATGAAAGCAAGCCAGCTCCGAAAGCTTTGATCTCTGAGCCCTGCTTGCACAGGCCAAACTCCACAGTGAACCAGTACACCTGAAGGCACACGTAAAGTTCATTAAAATATGATCTATACATTATGCCCAGGCAGATTGATCTAGAGGAGGTCATCAGGCTTCTTTGAAATCCACAAACCCCAGAGATCTTTGACACGGCTGAAAGAGGTCAGTTTATCTAAATCACAAATGAACCAAACATATTTTCTTATTTACATTTTGTGCTATCTAGACATGCAGCTCGTTTTTCATTTCGAGTTTGCTCAGGTTTTGTAAGATTTTCGCTGCCACTCCAAAAACAATGGAGGCAAATTAATACTGTGTACAATAAATACACACATAGGCATGTGCATATATACACACTTACTGTCTGTTTTATCTTGCTTCTATCCTGAATCTGTTAGATGCATTTGTTTTTTAGTGGTTTTAACCTAAATTAAGAAGCCTAACCAGCTGGAATCCCTATATAGATTATATCTGTTGCATTGCTTAATCTTGTGTAACATTGTTACCTATATTGTCCCCTGTTAAGTAAAATACATTAAATGATAAAATAGATTTTCCCCTTGAACAAAGTTTCAAAGCGACCTCAATGGCCTAATTTGTATGTATCTGGGGGTCCTTGACATGAAAGTGTTTAAAGCACCTGTTGTGAAGCCGTCTCTTGCTGATTAGTTCATTTAATCTCATGTACACAGTACTCACAGTAGCAAGCTTCTCAATGTACTCATCAGGGGCGCCAAGGGAGGCAAGACCAATTTCCTATACAGAATAAAATCAAAGCACATAGAAAATGTACAGAAAGTTACAGAATTACAAATGTTACATGGTTTTGAACACTTCATTGATCCTCTGTGGGAAAGTAAGTATTACAGCTGTACAAAAAAAACACAGAAGGACAAGACACATATAAGTACAAATTATATGTTAATTTAAATATAAATAAATTTAAAGTTATAAAGCTGTATACTGTATATACAAAAGACAATGAATGTGCAAACCAGTAAATATATATGAGATGCATTATAAGTACTGAATGTTTAGTATGTAAACAATATATAATTATAATACTATCTATTCAGTTTTGTATTATTGTCATTTTGTTACTTCTGATCTGACGAGATACTTAATTACCTGTGAGAATTGGGCAAAGCTAGGGTCAGCAAACAGAGGAACGTGTCCCAGAAGCTCATGGCAGATATCCCTGCATTAGAAATAAAAATGAATATTCAACATCACACAAATTATGTATTTTTCCTTCTTTTATGAATTGAGCTGAGACACTCACGGCTCAGGTGTGTACGTGGGCTTGGAGCTGTGGCGAATGTACTGCGTGGAATGAAAGACTCGGAAGGCGAGTCCAGCCAGGAAGTCCCGGGATGAGAGCAGGCCGGCGACCGGGCGAAGCCGGAAGCCTGTGCATGCTGCAGGAAAGGGACGGAGAGATGAAAGAGGTGAGAGTTTTTGTTTTTGGTTGTGTTGAATAAGAGCAGTTAGTGAGGGGGAGAGAGGGAAGGATTAATAGGAAGTAGGGCATTTGAACAGGTACTGCCCTCCAGATTCACACCACAGGGTTTCTAACTTGAAATGAATGAGTTGTTTCATGCTGTATGATGCTAGAACTGGAGTCAGAAGGAAAGCTGTAATTATGAGAAAAAAGTCATAATAATTGGAGAATTTTGTTAAATTATTTTTACTCTGTTTGAATAAATGTATTAGAGCACTCTGCTTTTATACTTCATGTCCAATAAATGATGAGATTGATGAGAAATCTCACCGACTAGCTTTCACTGTATAAGCTAGCTGTCTTGCTTTATGTTAGCTGTCTACGTCTGTGGCAGAGCGTGTATGCGTGTAATGAGTAAAGGCGGTTTGTCCTGTTAGTGCCACTTTGTAGTTACTGCAAATTTTTAATTTAAATTTACTTACCTTATTTTTGTAATTAACATCTTTACATAGAAATGGTTTTAGTATCCAATATTTGTGCATTTGACTCATAACAGTTCAAAATAGCACTGTAGCAGCAGGACAGAGGGTCAGTGACCTTCTACGGGGAGAGCAGTGATTGGTGGTTATGTAGGGACTGAACCCTTCTATAGAATTTGACCTCTAACCCTTTGTATTGTTACCTCAGAATAGTACTGTACCCTTCTATGGGTTTGACCTTTTATTTTGCAGACTCAAACCTCTCTATGGTACCTAACAGATACCTAAACATATCCTATATAAGCTTTGTTTGATGTACAGAGAGACAGAGTGGCCATCGGGCTGGGTCACTCTCCAAGCTGCTGCAGAGCTTGTAATTGATGCTGAACTCCTTGATTTAATAAACTTTTATGATCAAGAACAGTGTCAAGCGGGTTTCCTCTCAACACATCATCGCAGCATTATTTTTCAGACACCACATGGTACAAGGCATTCATTTTGTATAAGGTAAAAAGGACGGCAAACAGTCAGATTCCACTCCAAATGCGCCATTACAGCATTTTGACTTTGTTGGTTGTAATAGAATCAAATAATCATCATATACAAATAAAATGAGTCTTTAATATAGCCATATGTTAGAGAGACGTGGCAGCACTCTGGTTAAAATGTCTGCATTATAGCTTTAACCTTAACCTTTAAGTGACAAAATAGATGAAGATGCATCTGTAGGACCT